ATATTTATCAAAAATTTGTCTAGTCAACGTTTTGAATTTTTACGTTCCAATCTGCACGTTATTTCCCCCGCACAGATTGAGGGGGTGTAATAGCGGATATAGTTAGGCCCATTTTGTATTAGACCTTATTATATTATTAGTATAAATATGACGTGAGGGCTACCGATGAGGTAAGCCATTATTCTCCACTTTTATTATTTCACAAAAAATGCTCAACATTGTTTTACTAAGCCTCTTGTATTAACTCATTATGATGTGTGGCGGTCACCGCTTTTGTCTAATTTATGATTTAATTAAATATTATGTTTGTTTTATTGACGAAATCACTCATTTAAATTCAACGATGACTACACAATCCCATTTTGTTAAAATTTGTGCAATTAAGTTTAGATTCTGAATCTTAATGATTTGAAGTAATAATGCAATACTACGTATAAGATTATAGTCTCAATAATGCTTCGTGTACACGCTAGTTGTATGCGACATTTTACACATCGATCAAATTGTTTGTACACACCATTTTTTTCATTTTGTGAAGATGATTGTTTTTTCGTACATACAACTTTTTTGTTAGACATATTTTTTTGTTGATGCGAAAAACGATTCGCTTTACAAAACCAAAAAATTGTATGTGCACGACCAATTTGATCGACGTAAAAAACGTCGTGTACAATTTGACCTGTAATTGATGGGGAATTTTTCTCATCACAAGGACTGGCCGTCGTCTTCCATCAAACTGCTTCTTCTATCTTCCTCTCCGGTAACTTTCAACGGCAAGTCCGATCCCGGTTGATGCCATCTTCTGGTCTCCTCCGGAAGCTGGTTCATTACTTGTCGTTTGCAATTAGTCTTTTGTCACTGTTCCGCACCCTCATTGTAATGAGTTCATAGAAGTACCTCCAAATAAAATAACAATTCCAAGAAACACCATATATGGCTCGAGACGCGTAAACGCTGTCCTCAAGAAAGTATTTTCGGTGGCCGAAAATCTTTCCCCAGGATATAACGAGCCCTTCGGCGGATCGCCGGACACAGAACTACGAGGATATAATACAATTACGTAACCCAGCAGTGTTTAGGTGATTGCATGTAAAAAGCTTCATTCGTGAACTATATGCCCGTGTCTTTTCTCAAGGAATTTTTATGGGAGAAGATAAGTGTGATTATAGTTTTTCTTCTTTTTCCTTCTCTGCCATGGAGCATTACATATATACAAGCATTATATATACATAGTATATAAAAAGGCTGTTGAGATTATCCTAATAAATGAGAATAAATCATGGTGAACCAAGTAACGTACCAAGCTGCCAACCAAGTATAAATCATCCGTTTAAATATTTACTTTAGCTCCACACAATTAAATATTAATCACCTTTCGGTTACTTAATAGAGAAAACATATGTCCAAAATAATTTTGTTTATTTGAAATAGTCAAATTTTCCAACAATCCCCCACATATTTCAAATAAACATTTAAAGTCAAAAAACCATTTTAAAATCTGCTGGATTAACGGGAATGAGACTTTAAGTCTGGTGTCCGTAGACTATGAACCAAACCGAGACGATTAAGTCTTTATAAACCAAGCTTTTGGTGAAACATATAGTTTCTATGAACCAAGAAGCTACTATGGTAGATTAGGGTCTTAATGATCATGTCTCACCCCCCACAATTCCTCGCGTTAACGCCGTGGTGCGCCTTTCGGCCGTGCGCGTGCCTGGTTTTCTTGAGTGCTCTAGAAGCGTTGTCAATGCTTCATGGAGGCGGCCCCACCTCACACTCATATAGGTGATCTCATCAAGTGTGTCCCGCACTTAACACACCACCCATAAGGGCTATGATAATCATTAAGAGCTTTAGCTCATCCTCACAAACAAATGCAGTCCAGCCTTCCACACCATAGAAATGAACACTTTACAAGGCTAGCAGAACAAATAAAAGACTTGTTATTACCCATTTGAACTTGCTTCATGGGATCTCCAATCACACAAGTTGGGTTCCCATCCTTATTTGTTGTCAAAGTGACATTAGTCCATTTCCCTCGATGTTTAAATTTGTCATTTAACGTCCTAGGGATTCTATCAAAAGGAGTAGCTAATTCCTTTTAACTTCACAAAATTAATGGAATAAATCCATTCTCAAACATCATTGCACCACTTTTAAGGGTGAATGGATATCCACTATTTTATCTCATGTGAGTCGACTCGTGTGTCATCGTTGTATCCCGGCAATACAACGGATAACTCTTAATAAGAAATATCATCGATGTAACACTCTAGTACATCGGACATTTTCACTAACATGTTATATTCTAACAGATAATTCTCAATATAATATATAACATCATTATACAATTATAGTACAATGGATAACACTCAAATATAACATCGTCGTATCACTCTAGTTCTACGGATAATTCTCGATAAAATGTGTCATCTCTGTGCTCATTTAGTACTACGCGGAAAACTTTATAAAATATATATGACATCATTGTATCGTTATAATACAATGGATAATTCTCAATAAAATGTTTCATCATTGTATCTCTTTAATACAATGGTTTACCTCACCAAATCCACTTTTTTTATGTTTTTCGGGTTTCATCTCAATCTTCCGACAATTATGTCGGATCTCACATTGTTTGTTAACTTTAATAGATTCACACTTTGAGCATCAAAATAAATTTGAACAATATGAGACTACAAAATTATTCTTATATCCAACTCCGTATAGTTCCACACTTAATTAATAAAAGGTGACGCATATTATTTGCATACACAATATTTCAAAATTCACCACGTATCAATTAATGCCCGGTATAATATACTATGCATTTAAAAACACACCACACACATCCACAACAACTATTGTATCTCAAATACCCCACATTTTGAATATATACAAATATACATAGTAGATGCAAAAGCCATAACTAAACAACCATAAGGTCATAAATAGATATCAACATTCACTTCATGATTTTCCAAACGGGAAAATTGTCATATGAGTATCATATACAATTTGCCTAGCATTTAAATCAAATCCCAGTAAATATGTATGCAAACGTAAATATGAACAAGCTAGCTTAGGTAAATTATTCACATACTAAACATAATTTAATATTCTACCAAAACTGTTTGGTACAATCATCAATACTCAATGAAAAATACCATATCGTTATGTCCAAATTAGACACTACTCACTTAAATACTCGAAGTATTGTAGCAAAACAATCATAAATTGCATGCAAAACAACTTAATTACTTTAAGAATTAGAATTACATCTTCCAGAGTTCCAGTTACTTTTGACAAAGACAAAAAAAATATCATCGTAGTACACTAGTACTACACCATGCTTACGAAGCAATCATTATAATAATTCAATAGAGAACAGATACCTACCAAAGCTTCGTAACTATACTCGCAAATTACAAAGATAAAGCCATTAAAATCACTTGGTAGCAAATCCAGGAAATTACATGCATGCGAAATAGCCTCAAAATTTTAGAACACTAGAGTGGTGTTCTAGTACCGGTTTATCTTGGTTTATTTGAAATACTTTGAAAATACTTTGAAAATTTCCAACGAAGAAACGGAAACTAAATTAATTAGTCCGAATTTCGGGTACAAAAAACACATAATTTAGTGATAAAGTTTACCCTGATGTGAGTTTAAGAATAAAATCTCTTTTAGCATGCACTTTAGCGATTTTCGAATCCGCTAGATACACAAGATATTCACCATCTACTATAGTAATACAGGAGGTTAAAGCACTTTGTTTTTACAAATGTGCTTGGTAGCCCCGGAGTCTACCATCCACTCATTCACATCATTAGTTTTACAACTTTGAGAAACAACCGCAACAAAAATATGAACACTTTTAACCAAGTTTAAACTTGATTGTAGTGGTGTGTTGTTTTTTCATAGTTGTCTTTTTATCACAAAAAAAAGTATCATTAAAATAAATGGGATAAACTTAAGTCTAATTGCAAGCAGAATGTAGGAAACAAAATTAATAATTTGTAACACACATATTAAGGCAAACCCCATGCAAACTAAGCACATATGGAGTATAAGTTAGAAAATAAAAGTCGTACCAGAGTTTGTCATTCACAAATTTGTGCCGGAATACATTGATTTTCAGGATTGAACTTTGGCCATGGTGATGACGGTTGAGTACTTGAGTATCCTTTGGCCATCAATACTTTCTTGAGATTGATGGGGAATTTTTCTCATCACAAGGACTGGCCGTCGTCTTCCATCAAACTGCTTCTTCTATCTTCCTCTCCGGTAACTTTCAACGGCAAGTCCGATCCCGGTTGATGCCATCTTCTGGTCTCCTCCGGAAGCTGGTTCATTACTTGTCGTTTGCAATTAGTCTTTTGTCACTGTTCCGCACCCTCATTGTAATGAGTTCATAGAAGTACCTCCAAATAAAATAACAATTCCAAGAAACACCATATATGGCTCGAGACGCGTAAACGCTGTCCTCAAGAAAGTATTTTCGGTGGCCGAAAATCTTTCCCCAGGATATAACGAGCCCTTCGGCGGATCGCCGGACACAGAACTACGAGGATATAATACAATTACGTAACCCAGCAGTGTTTAGGTGATTGCATGTAAAAAGCTTCATTCGTGAACTATATGCCCGTGTCTTTTCTCAAGGAATTTTTATGGGAGAAGATAAGTGTGATTATAGTTTTTCTTCTTTTTCCTTCTCTGCCATGGAGCATTACATATATACAAGCATTATATATACATAGTATATAAAAAGGCTGTTGAGATTATCCTAATAAATGAGAATAAATCATGGTGAACCAAGTAACGTACCAAGCTGCCAACCAAGTATAAATCATCCGTTTAAATATTTACTTTAGCTCCACACAATTAAATATTAATCACCTTTCGGTTACTTAATAGAGAAAACATATGTCCAAAATAATTTTGTTTATTTGAAATAGTCAAATTTTCCAACATAAACATCATTTTCCTTATAGTCTAGTCCCGTTTATAGAATTCCCCAACATTATGCTTCTTTTGGGGGGAAGCGGGAGAAATGGAGAAACCAAATGGTGCCAAGTTTTGGACACAAAGTGAAGGTGGAGGACGACTCTAATGTCTTATTTTCTCCATGATTTGTCAACGAGAAGCTTCATGGGATTTTATTGTTTTTACGAAACTGACGAGTGGGGAAAGCATGCTTTTCTTTCAATTTATTATGCTAACCAACTCTCTCCCTCTCTCTCTCTTCCAGTTAAAGCAAGAAGCTAAGCCAAGCCAGCTATACTGAGCTCTTCACTCTCATAGACCCACCTCCTCTCTCTCTGTACTAGCTTCTCCCTCTAATTCCTCTTCATAAATAACGTACCGCTCTGAATCTGAACTTCAGCCAGGATTCTCAGCTCAGAGCTGTTCCTGTCGGTGCTCTGGAGCTTCCGTTCTGTCGGAAATCGGAACTGCCGGTTGAAGGTTGCTCCACATGGCTGGAAAGGAATTCGCTCACATTTCCGACGCGGCGGAGCTACGCGGCAGGGATTTCAGCCTGCTAGTTCAGCATTCGTTGTAGAGCTTGCTTCGACTCTTCGAGTCCGTTTTCTGCAAAATGCTAGCAGGTAATTAGTAATTACTGCTTCTGCTGGAGCTTTGTTTGTAAATTTTCCTATTTCCTCGGCTCGTTTTTAAGTAGGGGAAGCTTGGTAGTTGCAGATCTGAGGAAAAGTGGGAAACTGACTTCAATTCATGTTTGCTTGCGATTGAGCTTGGTGTAATTAATAATGCGTAGACTTCTTCTGATTTTCTATATCTGGAGTATATATGGCTGTGTAATAATGACCAAAATTCCGGAGACTAAAGGGATTTTGGTTGTTCAACGCCCTACCTACCCAATCTGAACCGGATTTAGCTTGAAATTTGGTAAGAAATAAGACAATCATGCACCCCCCTTTTCTGCTAGGTTTATCTTGTAAATTGCAGCTGTCTTTAGAGTAGAGTGTTTGTCTGTTTGGTACTCGGGTAGATCAGATAAAGTGACAATTATTCATGAAAAATTGTTTTCTATTGCTTCTGAAATTGCATGGTGGAGCACTATATCAATTGAAACATCTCACATGAACCCCTGAGGAATGTCAACTCTCTATGGGTTGCATTTGATTCCACTTACCTTTGGAATAATCATTTTAATGCCTTTTTGGTGTAAAAGTGGTTGAAAAAGCATTTCCTTCTGCCTTTACATTCCGTGTTGTTGTTTTGCATTTGGACGTTGGTTCTTTAATTCTTGTATGATTTGAAAGCTTTCTGGGCAACATGTTTAGGGAATCATGAGAATAGGCCCAACTTTTGTAGTTTTGAAACTAGAGAAGTTTAAAATTGAAATTATTGTACATTACTATGGCTCTCTCTGACCCATTTTGTAACTTACAGTACATTTTTAGAGGCTGTCCAAAACATATGGCTTCTAATTTAAACTCCACTAAGGCACTAACTTTTACTTTTATACTTGATCTCTTTATCTATTGTTGCGCTTTTTCTTATTTTAAGTGGACACGTACTAATTTTTCTTTCTTTTTGGAGGTTACAATTATAAAAGAACAACTTCATCCTTTATTTTCTTGAAATCGGTGTCTAACCAAAATGTGTCTTACATCTTGGGACATAAAGAGAGTTATTCTTCAAATTCTACTAACAATGTTTTTATTCTGTATTTTGAGTCATTAACATTTATGTTTCCGATTAATGTTCTTTGCCAAATAAAATAACACTTTGAAAAGAAAAAACATCAGAATTCCAGAATACACTATGATCACTAGCTCACTTATTTTTTTAACATATACACGCATAGTGAGAATTATCCCCACTTATTTTTCCCTCCTAACATAAACAACAGAATTAAGTACTTAAATCAATATGCTAATGATTAACATGAACTCCATACACTACCTGATCACTGGCTCAATCCTATTCCCTGCTTTTCTTGTAAATGCTTTCTCCTTCTCTATTTCTTGTGTCTTTTAGTTATATATTTCATGTTATGCACACCTATTATCAATCTATTATTTTCATCGTTACAGGAAAGTGTTTCACACACCAGATTTTCCTAATGAAAGCGTGCTCCACCTACAAGTTGCTATACTTTCTATTTGTTATCATTACAACAACTATTATACCCCTGGCTCATGGTGATATAAAGTCAGACGAAGAAGCTCTTCTTGCCTTTGCTGCCTCTATTCACCACGGACGGAAGATTAACTGGAATTCTGGGATCCCCATCTGCTCATCATGGGTTGGCATTAATTGTAGCAGAGATGGGGCCCATGTTGTAACAGTTCGACTTCCAGGAGTTGGACTCACTGGTGAAATCCCCCAAAACACCCTTGGGAAGTTAAATGGTTTAAGGGTTCTCAGTCTTAGATCCAATGTCATATATGGAACTCTTCCTTCTGACCTTACTTCACTTCCTGAGCTTCGCAACCTCTTCCTCCAACATAACAACTTATCTGGACAAATACCAACTTTTCCCAAGCAATTAAGCATTCTGGATCTTTCATATAATTCCTTCAGTGGTACCATTCCTCCCTCAGTGATTCAGAATTTGACCCACTTGACTGCATTGAACCTCCAAAATAACTCCCTATCTGGACCTATACCTAATATTACACTTCCAAGGCTAAAACATTTGAATTTAAGTTACAACCATCTAAATGGCTCTATTCCGTCCTCTCTTCAAAAGTTTCCCAAGTCTTCATTTCTAGGAAACTCTTTCTTATGCGGATTGCCATTAAGAACTCCCTGTTCTTCGCCTCTTCGACCACCACCGCTGTCTCCTCCCAATACCCATTTACCACATGGTCCTAAAGAACGCGGACATAGGAAGAAATTTATTATTATTATCGCTGTTGCAGCTTGTGGGACTGCAGTGATATTTATTGTAGCTTTATTGATTCTCATGAATAGAAAAAAAAGTGAGGGTAGGGGTGTACTAAAAGGGAAACCTTCTGGTGGGGGAAGGAGTGAGAAACCAAGCGAGGAATTTGGGAGTGGGGTGCAAGAGGCAGAGAAAAATAAGTTGGTTTTCTTTGAGGGATGCTCATACAATTTTGATCTTGAGGACTTATTGAGGGCATCGGCCGAAGTGCTTGGGAAAGGGAGCTATGGGACTGGATACAAGGCTATTCTGGAGGAGTCTATAACTGTAGTTGTCAAGAGACTCAAAGAAGTCATTGTGGGGAAGAAGGAGTTTGAACAACAGATGGAGATCATAGGTAGAGTTGGACAGCATCCAAATGTTGTTCCTCTGCGTGCTTATTATTACTCCAAGGATGAAAAGCTTCTAGTCTGCGATTATTTCTCCAGAGGCAATTTGGCAATGCTCCTCCATGGTATGATTTTCTGAATCCTTTCCCTTGACTATAATGGTCCGTTTGGAACTCAGAAAATACTGGGTAGTAGGTAAGATAGATACGGAAATGAGGAGAGAAAACTTGGGGGAAGTTAAATGATAAACTCAATTTCAATAAATTATTTTAGATATATGTTCAAATTCTTTTTGTTTATTTATAATTTTTCTATTATATACTCCGTATAGACTAAGAAGCAAGAAACCTAGATAAGACTTTTTAAAAATATATCATTTCATTATCCTTTACATTTGAAAAGGTAAATCAGAACATAAATAATTTACTTGGCATTTTCTTTTCTTTCCGTAATACTTACCGTGATCCATACATAGCCCAAAGCTTTGAGGTGGAAGTAAAACAAATGGCAAAACTTCTTTTTGGTGGTGGGGGTTTAGTGAATCATATCTAGCTTTGCATATAGTAAAAGGGATTGTGTATGCAATTTATTGTTGTAGTGCAAGTGGGCAACTCCCCTTTATATATGTGAATTTTTTATTTAAATGTTACATTCTGCTACTGCTTGGCTTCTTGCTAGTTCACTGGCTGGATAGTGATTATGATTTCTTCTAGTATCACACAATCAGCATTCCATCTTCTTGATAGGAAATAAGGCCACTGGGAGGACTGCTTTGGACTGGGAAACCAGAGTTAAAATAGCCCTGGCAGCGGCAAGGGGGATAGCCCATATCCATTCCACAGGTGGCCCAAAGTTCACTCACGGAAACATAAAATCCACAAATGTCCTCATCAACCAAGAAGATTCAGATGCACGCGTCTCTGATTACGGATTAGCTCCTCTGATGAATGCCCCGGCAGCCCGGTCTAGGCATCCCGGGTACCGGGCCCCCGAGGTGATCGAAACTCGAAAGCACACACACAAGTCAGACGTGTATAGCTTTGGGGTCTTGCTACTAGAGATGCTCACTGGGAAACAGCCCACCCAATCACCGGGGCGTGATGACATGGTTGATCTCCCAAAATGGGTCCAGTCGGTGGTGAGGGAAGAATGGACCGCAGAAGTGTTTGATGTGGAGTTGTTGAGGTATCAAAACGTTGAAGAAGATATGGTTCAAATGCTTCAGATTGCGATGGCGTGTGTTGCGAAGGTTCCGGAGATGAGGCCAAGCATGGATGATGTTGTTAGGATGGTCGAAGAGGTACAGCAATCTGACCCTGAAAACCGAGCATCTTCTGAAGAGAACAAATCCAAGGACTCATCAAATGTGCAGACCCCTTGATTCTTTTGGATTTATGATCTTAGTGATTTTTGTTTGCTTATTATTGTTAAAATTATATCTATTACATATTATATATAGGCATTGTTTAGTATTCCTTTTTAGGGGCCTGGTTTGCAAGTGCATTTTCTTCTTACATGATCCCTGTACAAGTTAAACCTGTGGTTAAATACCATCAACAGCTGATTGATGTCTTCTTCTCTAGTACTCCATATCTCTTTTAATTATCCAATGGGAATAGTTCGTACCCAAAATTATCACATTAGAAACGAAAGAATTATTAGAGAAAATAATTGGAATATAAGTAATTAATTATTAAAAATGAGGATGACAAAAACGTCAAGTAGACGCTATACAAGTATACAACCATTACGATCAAAAAATAAAAAGTATACAACCATTGGAATATGAATCGGATATAAAGTTTCTTACTAGTATTACCTTTTTGGCTTTTTATTAAAGCAATTAGATGAGATTGTCATATGAGAAAATGATAATGTTACGAAAAATTAAGGGATGGGTTTGGTTCGGAGTTAGGACCTTGAACAATGTGTACACCACCACCACAAGAACAACATCAAACCTTAGTCTCAAAAGATATTGAGGTCGGTTAACATGAATCAGTATATGATATTACCACTAAAAGGAAAAGAAAGAAAATAAAGATAAAAAGATAAGCGATTATGAGAAAAGATAATATAAAAAGAAATGAATATACCTACAAATGATAAAATAAAAAGAATAAAAATAATGTTTATATACATACACACACACAGATATTGGTTCAGGTGAGAAATGCATCTAATGTGAGAAATGAGAATGAATCTCAGCCATTGGATTTACCCGATATATATATATATATATATATATATATATATATATATATATATATATATATATATATATATATATATATATATATATATAGATTTTGGTTCAGGTGAGAAATGCATCTAATGTGAGAAATGAGAATGAATCTCAGCCATTGGATTTACGAAGTTGCACTAAAATTGGCTTTATGTTGCAGTAATATTTAAATTTTGCACATGTTGCACTAAAACTGTTTCATGTTGCACTAATATTTGACGGCGTTGCACCGAAATAGCTTCATGTTGCACTAGACACGTGTAATACGGATTTTTCAGAAGTATTTACAGAAATGCCACCGTGCTAGATTGCATATTTCAGTGCATCATGAAGTGTCTTCTACTGCAACTTAGTCGAATCCAATGGCTGAGATTCATTCTCATTTCTCACCCAAAGGGTTCTTCTCACTTGAACCTTACCCTATATATATATATATATATATATATATATATATATATATATATATATATATATATATATATATATATATATATATATATATATATACGGAAAAGATCCTGTCCAGCCGGAGGGACAGGATCCTCCGTCCGGCCGCCGCTGTTTGGGGCGGTTCCCGGTGGAGTTTTTTGATGAAATTTTTATGGAATGTTCCTCATCAAGTCTAGTTTATCCACAAAAAAATTCAGCTAAAAATTCGATCGGGAAGGCAGTCAAATAATTTTTTGAAACATAACTGCGTTTTATATGTTTAAGTTGGAGCAGTTATCTTCAAAACATTATTTGACTGCCTTCCCGATCGAATTTTTAGCTGAAATTTTGTGTGGGTAAACTAGACTTGATGAGGAACATTCCATAAAAATTTCATCAAAAAACTCCACCGGGAACCGCCCCAAACGGCGGCGGCCGGACGGAAGATCCTGTCCCTCCGGCTGGACAGGATCATTCCTCTCTCTCTCTCTCTCTCTCTCTCTCTCTCTATATATATATATATATATATATATATATATATATATATATATATATATATATATTAAAGGATAAAAGAATAAAAAAAGAATAAAAAAAGAAAAAAAAATGAGGGGAAAAGATAATGCGAGATCACTCATCCACACGAATACCCGCCCTCCACTTTACTCTCTCCAAAGCCATACCCTCTTCTCACCCAAAAAGAAGCATATCACTTCGGACTCTCCTAACCCATCCATGTCTGTTTGGGTCTTCCTTTCCCTCTCTTCCCTGCCTCTTCTCCACACATCTCAACTTGTCTGACAGGTGCATCACTCGATCTTCTTCGTACATGACCAAATCACCGTAGGCGTGACTCCCGCATCTTGTCTTCAATAGGCGCTACTCTCACTCTTTGCCTGATTGTCTCATTTATCACGTGGTCCTTCCTAGTATGCCCACACATCCAACGCAGCATGCGCATACTCTGTCTTGCTCCGACTTAGTCTGAAACCCTTGTTCTCCAATGTTTCTTGCCATACTTCCAACTTTGCTTTAAGACCTGATTGCGTCTCATCAATCAATACAATATCGTTGGCAAACATCATGCACCAAGGTATTTCGTCTTGATTTGACTTTGTAAGTTCATCCATGACTATAGCAAATAAGAAAGGACTCAGAGCCGATCTCTGGTGCACTCCGATAGTAATAGGGAACTTCGCAGTCCTCCCTACACTAGTACGGACACTTGTAGTATAATCCGCATACATATCCATGATGATGCTGATATACTTACATGATATGCCTTTTCTAGTTAAGGCCCATCAAATAACTTCTCGATTTACCCTATCATAAGCATTTTCTAAGTCAATGAACATCAAATGCAGATCCCTGTGAGCGTCTATATACTTCTCCATAAGTCGCTGAAGAAGGTGAATGCCTCAGTTATTGAGCGACCGGGCATACAACCGAATTGATTTTCGCAGTTCTTCGAAGTCTTTGCTCAATCACTCGCTCCCAAAGTTTCATGGTGTGACTGATAAGTTTAATCCCTCGATAGTTCGCACATTCTTGTACATCACCTTTATTCTTGAATAAGGGGATCAGATAAGAGTACTCTCCCTCCAACTCATTGGCATCTTGTTGTTTCTCCAAATCATGTTGAAGAAACTTGTTAAACACTCGACGCCTCTCTCTCCCAAACTTCTCCAAGCCTCGATCAGTATGTTATCTGGACTCACTGCTTTCTTCCGCCCCATCTTCCTTAGAGCCTCTTTAACTTCCGTTGTTTGGATCCTTCTCACAAAATCACGATTTACCATACAACTTGGTATGGTCAAATCACCAATATCTTGCTCTTTGTTCCTGTTGAATAGTGTATCAAAGTATGACCTCCAAATCTCTTTTATCTCCCCATCCTCCATTAGTACCCTTTGATCGGCATCCTTCACACACTTAACTTTTCCGATATCTTGAGTCCTACAGTCATGAAGACGAGTGTCACGCCCCGGACCGCATCCGAGCGCGTGTACAACCGCCGTGTGACTAAATGACGTCACTCGCAAGTCAACGTAACTTAATCATACAAGGCGTCCATGAACATTGTTCATACCATACTCAGTAAGTAAACATACATAACAACATCACATATTTGGATTGAACGAAACGCGGAAATATTCAATATTCAATCATGGGCCACATATGGCCAAAACGTGGACTCGCAGGCCCAAAACAAATGTACTTATTACAAAATATCCATGAGCATAGTTTATAGTTTAAAATAGTAAAGGAAGCACGAACCACGTCTCCCTTTAGATTACTTCACCGAGCAAGGTGAGAATGCAAGCTTGAGCTTCAACCTGAAATGGTGGGGCCCCCCGAAGGGGTCAGTACAAGTACCGAGCGAGTAGCAGGCTAAATGTAGAATAACTAACGTTTCAAGTATAAGACCCAAACATAGGGTGATACATATACATATAGTTCTTTCCCCCAAGTTATGAAATATATATCATTATATATACACTTGGAAATACCCGACCCTTAGGTCATTGTTTATTTGGGAAATAATATAGCCGTTAGCCTTGGCTTAAACCCCAACCCACCCATATACCTATGAGTGTATAGAACTCCTCCTGGTTCAAATCATCTTAACATGAGGACACCGCCCGGTCCCAAATTATAAAATAATAATCTATGAGTTTTGAGGATACACGCCCGATCCTTGGGTACTCCACCCTATAACCGAGTTTTGAGGATAACCGCCCGATCCTTGGGTACTCCACCCTATAACCGAGTTTTGAGGATACCGCCCGATCCTTGGGTACTCCACCCTATAACCGAGTTTTGAGGATACCGCCCGATCCTTGGGTACTCCACCCTATAACCGAGTTTTGAGGATACCGCCCGATCCTTGGGTACTCCACCCTATAACCGAGTTTTGAGGATACCGCCCGATCCTTAGGTACTCCACCCGACTTATGATCTACCACATATCATCCTAGATAAGGTCTATATCATAATCAATAATCAAGACTAAACCAAGTCTTAAGGCCTAAGCATAATCATCCATGCAATTCATGCATTAAAAATCAACATATAGGCAAAACAGTGCCAAACCGGCGCCGGTTTTGACATAACCGGCGCCGGTTATTAATTAACTTAATAAAACCGGCCATGCCGATCCATAACCGGCGCCGGTTTTGCCTATAACCGGCGCCGGTTACCCCCTGGGCAACCAAGTCAACATTTTCGTTGACTCGCCATTTCAAACCCGATTTGCGTCAAACTTAATCCCAACATGTATTAAGTTATAACCAAGCATTTTGTGCCTCTCTCATCCCTTAAAACATCATATATGTTTTTATAAACATTTTCATATCATACTTCATTTATGATATCAATGGGTCATACATATAAGTCTAATCACTTTGGATAATCACATGTTTAAGCATCTTTTAAACATCATTATGAACACATAAAACATTTACTTAGGTAATCTCATAATTAACCCACGAGTTATAAGACATTAAGCCGTCCACTCACCTCAAATGAGCGTGATGAAGTTCTACCCTTCTCGGTTGAACTCCGGCCAAACTCCGGTGAACTTTGACGAACTCCGGTGACAACTCCGGCGACTCTTTCAACCTTGTGAAAGCTTTCAAATCACCCTTGACACGTTCCTAACATGGTTTTATCATCACAAAACCCATATCAATACAAATAACCTTTAAAAGGTTATTTTCCGGCTAACCGGTCGTTTTGGCCTCCAAGTCCGTTCTTGGACTTAGAACGACCCTTCAACCCCTCAATCCACACTTCTCACGTGTAGACCACCCTTAAGGATGCTCCATATGATATATAAGTCATATGAGAATTAAAATATGGAAAGAAAGTTGTTATGGAGCCTCTTACCTTTATTTTCAAGGGTTTTCTTCCACTT